TCCCTGATGATGAGTGATGTTGAACATCTTGTCATGTGTGTGTTGGCTATCTGGATGTCTTCTTTGGAAAAATATCTATTCAGATCCTTTGGCCATCTTTAAATCATTTTGTTTGTTTTTTTGTGTGTTGAGTTGTATAAATTCTTTATATATTTTGGATATTAACCTCTTGTCAGATATATCATTTGCAAATATCTTCTCCCACTCAGTAGGTCGCCTTTTTGTCAAACATTGATTTTCTCACAGCCCTGGGGGCTGGAAGTCAAAGACCAGGCTAGCAGTGTGGTAAGTTTCTGGTTAGAGCTTTCTTCTTGACTTGCAGACAACCACATTCTCACTATGTCCTCAGGGAGCACAGAGAAATGGCTCTATCCTTCTTAAAAGGCCACTAATCCTATACAGAAGGCCTCACCTTCATGACCCAACCTAATGACTCTAATTACCCTCCAAAGGCCCCATCTCCAAATACTATCACATTAGAGGTTATGGCTTTAATGTATGAATTTGGGGGCGGGTCACAAACATTCAATCCGTTACATATGGTAATTCTATGTTTTTTGAGGAATTCCCATAGCCCTTTCCACAGTGGCTATACCATTTTACATATGCACCAGCAATGCAAAGCGTTCACATTTCTCCACAGCCACAACGACACTTGTTATTGTGTAAGTGTATGTGTGTGTGTGTGTGTGTGTGTGTGTGGGTGTTTAATGGCCATTTCAATAGGTGAAAAGTGGTATCTTGTGGTTCTGATTTGCATTTCTCTAATGACTCGTGATGTTGAATATCTTTTCATGTGCTTATTGGCCATTTGTACATCTTCTTTGGAGAGATATCTATTCAAGTCCTTTGCCCATTTTTTATTCAGGGTGCTTGTTTTTATTTTTTGCTGTGAATTTTGAGAGTTCTTTACATATTTTAGATACCAATCTGCTTTCTGATAGATGATTTGCAAATATGTTCTCCCAACCCATTGGTTGCCTTTTCACTGTGTTGATGGTATTATTTGATGCACAAAAACTTTAAAAATTTGATGAAATCCAACTTACGTATTTTTTCTTTTGTTGTCTGTGCTTTTTGGTATCATATATAGGAAAGCATTGCTAAATCCAATGTCATGAAGTTTTTCCCTATGGTTTCATTTAAGAATTTTATAATTTGAGTTCTTACGTTTCAGTCTTTGATACAATCTGATTTAACTTTTGTACATGGTTTAAGGTAAGGGTCCAACTTCATTATTTTGCACATAGATATCCAGTTATCTCAGCACTTTTTGTTGAAAAGACTGTCCTCTTCCCAGTGAAGGGTCTTGGCATTCTTGTTGAGAATCGTTCCACCATATATGCAGGGTTTATTTCTGGCTCTCTATTCTATTCCATTGGTATGTGTCGGTATTTATGCCAGTAACACACTGTTTAGATTATTGAAGATTTGTAGTAAGTTTTGAAATCAGTAAGTGTGAAACCTTCAACTTGGTTCTTTTCATTGGAATTTTTAACCCAAGAGAGTAGTATTTCTCTTATTGTTTCATTCCACTGTGTAATACATATTGAAAAGTATGTGTGCTTAGTTTTCTGAAGCAGACTTTATAAAAAGTGTCATGGATACAGTTGTCAAAATCACTCAATATGTGTATGCAAACGCTAAGAATGATGATCAGTTTATGGAACTCTTGAAAGAAATAGAAAAAAAATGAGTCTTGTGTTCTTTGCCAGAGGTCATTCATTGAGTCATGGATGATTTTTAAAAGATTTAGTGTACCGCCAACTCTAATTCAACACTGCTCTAAAACAAAAGCTATATTACCAAAGACCCAGTAATCAAAGAAAAAAAATGATGGCAATGTGACTTAACCTTTTCTCATCGATATGCTGGGAAAAAAAAGCTCATTTATTACCTTATTAATGTACTACAAATTACGTGTAAGTGGAAACTTTCCATAATGCAATCAATAATAATGATTTCAGATTTTTATAACATGAATCAATATGTGGATTTATTTCTAACTAATATCATTATATAAATTATCTACAAAAACTAACAAAAAAATTGAAGGAACACTTTGTGTGATACTGATAAATTTAGAGTTTCTTTTAAACTTTAATTTGAATTTGATATGAATAAGACTAATTAACATGAGCTTTCAAATTAGCTTCACTTTGGACAGATGTAGTTTTCAAATTGGTATACCACTTCAAAGCCAAATTAACTCTCCTGAAAAAATCTTTTAAACTGTCTAGATGCAAATATGCAAGGAAAATAATTTATTTGTAGTCAATTTAGTTATTGAACAATTTTGAAATATGTTTGGAACACCTTGGATATGTGAAACTACTCTTTTAAGCATAAAATTTATTTTATTTTATTTTTTATTTTTTAAAGATTTTCTCCATTTACTTGACAGAGAGATAGAGAGAGCCAGAGAGCATAAGCTGGGGGGTGAGGGGAGAGGCAGAATGGTAGAGGCAGAGGGAAAAGCAGGCTCCCTGATGTGGGGCTCTACCCTGAGACCCTGGGATCATGACCCAAGCCAAAGGCAGACGCCTAACTGACTGAGCCACCGAGGTGCCCCTAAGCATAAATATTATGAAATCTAAACACAGATCAAGTATGTCTGATAAAAAATTTAGCTCTCAAATTGACATGTTTTTATAGGAGTAAATTACACACTGGATTTTAAAGACTTAATGCAAAAAAATGTAAACTATCTCAATAATTTTATAATAGTTGCATGTTGAAATGATAATCTGAATATAATGGGTCACTATTAAAGTCACACAAATATTATAGAATTAGCCATTCCTACTAAAATAAAATGTTACTTTTACTTGCAAACCTTGTACCTAACACAGCAGATTATCATTATTACATCAGTTTAAGTCACTCACCATAATTTTCCATCCATGCTGGCTGCCTGGTGAAATATTATTCCATGGACCAATCCCTGGTGCTTTGCTCTGTTTAGGGCAAACTTTTATAAGATATTAAAGATGAAAGTAGAATGGAAAATTGAGTTTTGTACAAGAACACTAGAATTCAAGGCAACCAAAATTTTAAATAATCGTTTTTAAAGATTATAACCCAGTTAGCAAAAGTACTTAAAAAAAATATGAAGGTACCAAAAATCTGCATTACTAATAACACCCATCTATAACCAAATATAATTTCCTAAAAGCTGATTTGAGGGTTATTTTTCTTCAGCTTCTGACATTAAAATGATTAATTTGACTCTAGACATACCCCACAACAATGAAAAACATTATAGCCATACCTCTCTGTTCTTGTTGATTTTAGGTGCCTAATGTGTGTGTCTTCAAAGTAGTCAATCATAGATTGTGTTCCTTTTAGCAATAGAGTCATAAGGGAGCCAAAAAAAGAACATTGTTCTAGAAGAAAAAATAAAATGAGAACATTCAACTTCAGTGCAATATCAAACCCAGCCTCCTATCATTTTTTAAGCTACTTTCCCATATGCTATTCTAAATAACATTCACAAAAATGAGAGCACATCTACAATGGTTGTTAGTGGTAGTTTCCCACTGACTTCAGTTAAAAAAAATTAAAATTATTAAGACATGATTCCAGTTCTCTTAAAAACCTGAAATAGATTTCTGTTCTTCTGCCTGGCAGTTACTGCAGTAACAGCAGTGAGTTGTAAATATATAGTCTATGACTGGTGTAAAGCAGTTCAAATATAGTCTTAAAAGTATTACTAGGTTTTGAAGATTTATCCCTATGGAAAACATGAACAAGTTTTCAATTTTTTACTCAAGCCGTATGATAGAAAGTGTAACATTATTTGAAGATGGGCTAAGATTATCTTAAAATGTATATTGTAGACCCTAGGGAGACCACCAAAAATGTTTTAAGAAGCATAAATAATAAGCCAATAAAAGAGATAACATTTATGAAATCTTGGGTTACATATCAGTAGTGACTTGGGCAATCTTTAAAGATGACAACAGAGGACGCTCCTGAATGCCCTTTCTCCCATGGACACACTGAATGAACAGCTACACATGGAGTAATTCTTTCTGAAAGAAATCCAGAAACTAGCTGAGCAATAACTATACATTGGGCAAATGAGACAGTACCCACATCAAAACTGGTGGGAAAGGCTGACACACACTTTGCACAACACCATACCATAGGGAGGGATCCCCAAACTCCCAGCTTCTCCCTGAGGATTATAGGATTTGAACACCACATCTAGGGCCCCAACTTTTATGTCACACACCCAAGGGATGGGCCCCCAAAACACCTAAGTCTGAAAGCCAGTGGTCTTGCATCCTCAAGTCCCACAAGACTATGACAAACAAAGGAGCAGCTTTTAGTAGATATGAACACTTGCCACGCCTATCACCCCAGGGCTCAGTACAGAGGGAGTAGGCAAAAATACCCATCTCTCACTTTTACCCTAAAACATGTCTATTTGCATACTTTAAAAGATGCTGCCTGAGGGTCAGGCTTCTAATTAACCACACATCTAGGGGCAGACTGCCGTGCTCCCCAGAGATCATGGAAGCCTCTGGACATCTCCCTTTCTCTCTAGCCCACTCCAAGTTGCTAGTCTAGTACACATATCTAGCACCCCAGCTTTTGTGGTTGTCTCTTGAGGGACAAGCCCCTGGATTGCTTGGCTCTGATAACAAATGGGGCTCACACTGAAAAATCCCACAGAGCTGTAACAAACAAAGAAGAAGTTCTTAATGGGCTCATGAGCAACGCTCTCCTCTCCTACACAGCCAGGCCCAGTGCAGAGGAAGCAAGCAAAAATGCCCATCCACCAGTTTCTCCCTGGAAGGGGGCTAAATACATATTTTCCCTGTTGCTGTCTGATGACCTAGCTTGCATCTGGGCACTGACTGTGATCCTTCTCTTTAGGACACTGATGGTTTTGGCATGGCCTCAATTACTGGGAGCCACTAAGAATAAATAAGGTCACTTGGGTGATCGCAAAGGACATTCAGGAGTATAGGCTGGGATTATTGATGAGGTTCATCTCCTATAATGAGACCACTCTACCAAGACTAGGAGAGGTATCTATTTCATCGAATGCACAGAAACCCATAAGGAGAGTCAAGGAAAATGAAAAAACACAGGAATATGATCCAAACAAAAGAACAAGATAAAACTCCAGAAACAGATCTTAATGAAATGGGGATAAACAAGTAACTAACCTGATAGAGAGTTCAAAATAACAGTCATAAAGATGCTCCCCAAGATCAGGAGAACAATACATGAACAAAGTGAGAATCTCAACAAAGAGATAGAAAATATTAAAAGTACCAAAAAGAAATCACAGAACTGAAGAATACAATAATTTAGCTGAAAAACTCAAGAGAGAGTTTCAATAGCAGGCTAGATCAAGTGGAAGGAAAGATTAGCAAAGACAGGGCAGTAGAATTCATTTAATCAGAGGAGAAAAAGAAAAAAGAATGAAAAAGATTGAAGATAGTTTAAGGGTTTATGGGACACCAACAAGTGGACCAATATACACATTATATAGGCCCCAGAAGAAGAAAGAGAGAAATGGGCAGAAAGCTTATTAAAATAATAAGAACAACAATAATAATAACAGCTGTAAACTTACCTAATCTAGGGAAAGAAACAGGCATTCAGATCCAGGAAGCCAAGTAAGTTCCAAAAGAGATGAATCTCAAAAGACTATACCAAGCACATTATAATTGAATTGTCAGAAGTTGAAGACAGGGAGAGAATCTTAAAAGAGTAAGAAAAAGAACTTGCTATCCACAATGGAACCCCTATAAGACCATTAGCAAATTTTTCATCAGAGACTTTGCAAGTCAGAAGAGAGTGGCATGATATATATATATATATATATATA